AGCATCAGGAGCCGCCATGTTTTCGTTTGGGCGGTCTGATTGGCCCCGAGAGTGACGTCACACTTTGACTGCGCAGTGGGTATCCACGGCGTGAGCATACCCTTATTCTTATACCATGAGGCAGCCCATGCGCTGTCTTATTAAGGCTATTCTACATTGGTCGTATCGTAGATGTCGCAAGTCACAAGCTTGTTGCTTCAGCCAATCCGATGCTTCAATTAAAAAAAAAGTCGTATAATGCTTACGACGCTTCCGACACTACGATACGACCAATGTAGAATGGCCTTTACGCTGCGAGCCGTATAAATACCCTGCCGTTTTCATGCGCGCATGAACGGAGCACAGTGAAACGGACCGCCTTCCATGCTCTCCATGCGCATCATGCGTGAAACGGAACTTAGCCTTAATTGACATATACATTTGCTGGATTCACACTGTATCCGATTTTCGTCGTACGACACTCTTCAACCAATCAGAAAACGGAATTCCGATGATATGAAGCAAAATCCATCGGAATCCTGTTTTCTGATTGGTTGCAGAGAGACGCAAATCGGATGCAGTGTGAATCCAGTAACTGTACGGTACTACCTTTGACTATATATACCTGGACTGCTAGTCCCTCATTTTTGCTATAGGAAATGCATACTCTCGTTGTCCGCAAACTGAAGTTGGCTGAATACTAGGTGCATTCAGAAGCACGACCGCTCATTGAGCGCTCATTGACCTCTTGTATCTGTTTGGTCTATATTTTTCGATCTAATGGAATATGCCAATCAGATGCAAGATGCACCCACTGTTAGGCTCCGCCCTGGAGCCCAAAGACCGGGAAGTTCAAATGCGAAAGTTGTCATGTTTTTTATAAGTAAGACTTATTATATAAGTAAGACTTTTTCAAATAGGAAAAGTTTAAATTAAATTCATTAAATATTTGGTTGAGAATTGATAAGAAGTCAGAAAAAAATCTGAAATGGATGAAAAAGGGATGTAGTATTGTTTTTGAGGTTAGGCTACCTGTTACGAGAATTTGTATGTTTATAATAGGGATATAAAACAATGAAAATAAATAAAAATAATAATTTTAGCAATAAATGAATATATGAGAAAACTATTTAATGAAAGGTAATAATAAATAATTTTTTGGAAATCTGTAAAAATATCAATTTACTCAATTTTATAATATTACCAGTACTATAGATTCCAAGTCAATATGCACAATGAAAATAATAAATCATATTTTGGAAATAATTACATGGAACATGAAATTAAGTAATAATTGAAATATACTGAATATTAGTTTACAATTGGTAAAAAAAACCAGGTTAAAAATAAACAACTTACTTGTAAAACGGCAAAACTGGTTTGTTTTCGACATGTTTTTGTTTATACCTCGATGATTTGCACCCGTTTATAAAACAATACATATTTTTACTATGTTTTTCAATGTTAAAAATGTTCAGGATCTTTTATATTATACACGCTCAGGATCTTTTATATTATACACCCAAAAAATTATTCTTTGACGTGCACCGTAAGGGTGCCGTCACATGCGGCGTAACTTGCGTAAGCGTAACTTGCGCCGACCAATCATATCATTTCACTTGAACATCAATTTCTGTCTAGTCACTTTATGCTTTTTACGTTATTTTGTTGTTACGCCGAAACATGATAGAACCACTATGCGTCGAATCTAATTTCTGGCTCATTTTAGCTTATTGT